TTTTTTTTTTTTTTTTTTTTTTTTTATAATGCCACCTCATTAAACTTTTCTACCCCTCGAATCGAACGAGCCGAACTCCGTCACTTCCGCTTCCACCTGCTCCAGACTATTAACATGCTATGAACTTTGCCTTTGACTGTAATACCATTGAATATCGAAGACCTCAGCAGGATCAGCCGGCTCCCTAGTCGCGGTCTGGCGACTCAGGGGAATGTAAGGGGGTCCTTCCTCCCCGCTCAAACTTCTTCGGGACTTCATTTATCACCTTTTTTTTTTTACATCTCTCATGCATCCTACGTACACAGTTCGCTGGTACCTGATTTGCTTGCCTAGTTGTCGATCGGCGAGTACCTTGCGGCAAGTCGTCAGGAACTTATCGACAAGTTCTAATTGGATATTCGACCTAGTGGACTCAAGATTGATCGATCCTCACTGACGCAACGGGGACGTGTGCCAGCTCCCGTCTAATTGCGTGTTGCCAAAGTCCAAACTTCTCGGGCGGTTTTTTTTAATTATTCCTTTTTCTCCATTATTAATTTTTCTACAATATTTACCGTGATCAAAGCCGTTAGAATGGAGCGTGGATCTCGGTCTGGGATGCTGCGGCATTTTAACGTGAATAATGATAACAATCATGGGTATTACGTAGGGGAAGAATATCCGGCACTGGGGTGTACGCTTTACTCTTGGAAAATCATGTGAGGATATTGGTTAAGAAAGGGGTTAAGGTGTAAAATGGCGTGAGAGCAAGAGAGAGAGAGAGAGAGAGAGAGAGAGAGAGAGAGAGAGAGAGAGAGAATATCGTGAGTTATGAGAAATGAAAAAGGACCAGTGAGATCGTAGACGCTTTGTAGTACGTCCGTGTTACCGCGAGATTATCCGAAAGATGCCATTTTCTGTCTGCCGCGATCAATGCAACCCCTTTTGGAAATTTATGGAAAAGCGGTTCCGCCTATGGGGAAAAACGTCGTGAAAAGGGTGGTGTGAAAATATCCGAAGAAATATGACGGGATAAACAGACAAAGAGAAAAAGAGGGAAGGAAAGAAGAAAGGTGGAAGAAGAAGGAAGGAAGGAAGGGAGAGAAGGTGGGACGAGGCGGGAGGTGAGAATAAAAGGAAAAGCCGTCCGGGACCGCGAGACGCTAAAAAGTGGCGGATGCTGTGTGGACCAGGCCGAGTTTCGTATTCATACAGACCCCCGCGATAAATTCTCCAGTGTTGACGTGGGAATTGAATTCCCTTCTCGCTAAAGGCCACAGAGTACCGAAGTCGAACCAATGCACGAACGTTTCGACGTAAACGACATACATACGAGTGAACGAACCGCGTTGCCAATTTTTCACGAGAAACAGACAAAAAATTCGTTACAATCGTGGTCGCCCTGTAAAGCGTTCGAAAATTCGATGGATTTGATCGTCCGTGCGCCAACGTAGTTTCGGCCGAACCACAGCCAGAGGCTCAACGATTTGCTGGCTACCGATTACACGTCTGCTTTTTTTTTAGACAATTCTTTGTAGAAAGATTAGGACAATTTTTTTTAAATTTTCACTCCGTTTCCTCCGCGGATCTTGGGCGGGGGAGAAGTTGGGTGATGGAAGAGGGGTAGTTGAAAGAGTGTGACAAAAAAGCTTACTTTTTTTTTCTCTTTATTTGTCTCTGAAAGGAGGCGAAAGATAAATAGAGAATATCAAAGAAAACGCTGCACGACGACATGGATTATTTAAAGCAGCAAACGGAATGTTTGAAAAGCACCCTTGTAATAATTGCGCGGTAGCTCTCCTTGCCTCTGGCTCGGAAATAATTTCCCCGCTGACAGTGTCCACTGACAATGAGAGTGAATTCTCTTTTCCAAGTTACACAGACGGCTGGGTATTCCGTATTCTGGATGAAACCATTAGCCGTGTCCCATTATCCAACCCTTATAATGCAGGTAGGTGCCATTCGCGTGTACACGCGCGCTCCGTGCCCGTCCTGCTCGTCCATTGCGTTTAACCGCGTGAACTCGACGGTCCGGAGAGCACTGAAAATTAACAGGATTAACATTGAAGCGTA